TTCGAGGTCATAGCAGGAATATTGGGAAATATAATTGTTATTCTCGTATATCTGGATGAAAATCTAACTTGTGATTTATATTTGGATATTCTTCAAACCCTCATTCATCCATGGATTCAAGAAATTGTGGCGATCAATCAAGATGAATTCGATATTCTAGTTGTTTTCCAACAAGATTGTGCGCTCCCGCATTTTTTAGGCCTGTAGAGATTGGTTGGATCAGACATACCTAGGCCTGTGGATTGGTAGGCGCGGTTCGTTGAAATGACCTGCTCGTTCACCTGATTTGACTCATATTTTATTTCACGCAATCTGAGACAATACGGAAACTTAAAGACAGAATTAACGAAACTTGTGCTAGCATTACCACAGAAACATTTCAAAGCGTTGAAACGATTTCGAAAATAAACTATTCTATTGTCAGGAGGTTTAAAGAGAACATTTTGAACATTTGCTCGAATGATATAGTTATCCAATATACAGAGTGTCCCTGGACTTCCTCTTTTCCTCTCGGGAATGTATAGATGGGGTCAAAATATCACCAGTACTTCATATAACTTTTTTTCCTAAAAGTCTTCGTAACCAAGTTACGGGCCCTCGAAGTTACAAAATGAAAAATGTTTTTCTTTGATAACTTTGTCATAATAATGGTTTCCCTGCTATAACAAACATAGAACTAATATTCTTAATCGTAGTTTAATCTACCAACAACTTCAATAAATATTGTTCTATTTCCAGGATATTTCAAATATTTTCAGATGGTACTGTAATGATATTAATGTTTCTTTTCATACTATGGATCCTATTTCCAAATTGTTAGTTAATACTAAAAATAAGGTACCAATCTCCCATAAATGAGGCGTTTATAGAATGTCTTGTTCACAACCAAATTGTTCCGCTCAGTATGTTGAACAAAGTGGTAGGAAAATCAAAGCAAGAGTTCTTGACATTGTTAAACTAATCGATAATTTCAGAAATCTACACTTGGATGATTATAACACAAAAAGTTCGTTCTCTTATCACATCCTTAATTACAACCATAGTTTTGATATTGATTTTGATTTAGATATTTTACATATTTGCCAAAAAAAACACTTTACTCAATTTTTGAAATCAACTCTGCTATTAATAACCCCAATGTTATCTCTGTTGATGAACAAGTACATTTTGATTGCCAAAAGTTTTTCAATTCCCCTAATTTCAACTAAATTTTCCCTGGCTTGATCTTCCATAAACCTTTATTTTATTCATTTCATTAGTATGGTTGAACAGTATTTTGGTAGTCGGCTCCAGTTGAATGACACCTTTTCTGGGATCTGTTTGCTCAAAACTCGAGTTGATATGTATATGGTGGTCCTTCTTCTGTTGTGTTCTGTGTTTGCAGGTCTCTTGTCACTGTTCCATGTCATCTTGATTTTATTTCTTCATATATTTTGGACAGTTGATTCTCCCAGTTATTGTGGTCCGTGGCCGTCCGTGGGGATACCTTTCACGATAGATGAGTCTGGCCTCGCTTGAATTTCCGTCAGCCATGCCGTATACAAAAGCCATATCAGCCATTTCAGCATTCGTTAAGTCGACATGATACCAAAAAATCACTTTCTAAACTCCGAAGTGTGAATTTGTCAACGAATAGTTGAAAATGTGACAGCAAACTTTTATTTCGTGTTAGGAATCACATGTTGAAAGGTAGACCTTAATAAATTTTGTTGTAAGTTACATTCGTTTAATAATCACCCGTCAACTTTTTTTCCCTAAAGCGATCTAAAAAAAATTATTGCCATTTTTAAAAATATCCCTAGACTTTTCCGATGTGTGTATATTATTACCACGAATCCCTATTATACCTACAGATGCGCCAATTCATTTTAAACCTGTGCTGTGTAATTTCCAATTAGATTGGCTTCTGCAATGACAAATAATAAATCCTAAGGCCAAACAATGTCCGTTCGTGGCTTTGATTTGAGCACACCATGTTTTTCAAACGGACAATTATACGTGGCATGCTCTCGAGTGGCCAAATCATCCAGTACCTTTGTGTTGCCTAAACACGGACTAACGAAAAATATTGTACACACTGTAGCAATTAAAGAATTAATATTATTTGTAAGGGTTATTGTTTTGATATGAATACTTTATGTGGCAAAAAAACGTTTGCCGGGTCAGCTAATTTATGTATAAGATAAGTAATAATAATAATGTATGCCCATCCTTCGCAAAAAATGTTATTGATTCATTTCTCTTTCTAATGAACGTGTATTTGAAAAAATCTAACATAGAGTGGCGGTGTTATGAAATTCCTTGTTCTAAATTGAAACATAAATAACTACGCAACCGGTTATCAAAATTCCAAGAAATTATGATCATTGTATGGCGAATTGGAATACCTTTGATATAAAATATCACAGGACCCCACTTTCTTTTTGCAGCCCTCTCGGCATCAAGTGATGTCACACTAATTGCTTTATATTAAAAAGAACTAAAAATAATAAAGCAAAACTATGTCCGACACTGTATCTTGCCCCGTTCGATAGTGAAGAGGTTGGGGGACAATTTACGTCCGCACTGTATATTTTCAACTTGAGTAATTTGTTTACGGTCTTTTGAATGACATTTTATTTTTCACCGACCTTTTTAATAATTTTCACCACCCAACATCTGAGAAAAAAAATATTTAATGGAAGGCCCAAAAAAGTCGATAAAAATTGATTTTCTCCACTTAAATGACTTTCGTTGAATACTTTATAAACACTTTGGACCATGCCAGAGCAGTTCCCTTAATACCAATGGCTTCCAATTCGTTTTCGTTTCAACGGCAGCAACTACTAGGGTAAATGTTAATAACATCATGAACATCATGACTATTAGTAGTCCCATCAGCTATGTAACGTAACAGAATCAATTTTTTAACAATGAACAACCATCAATCGTTTCATAAACTCTTCTCAAGTCTAGAAAACAGCAAAACATAGTCACAAGCATAGTCCTGTGATTGATATCTGTTTCAATTTTTTAAGTTTTGGTGTACAAGAAAAAGTGATGATTTACAAATCTTTGTGTGTTTTTTTGACAAATTTATTACTTTTCCTTCCTCTGAAAGTTCACCACTCTTCAATATCTAAAGATCAGAAATCTAAAAAAAATCTCCATACTCAATCCTTTAGTCAGTTCTATTTCCTGCCTCAATGTTCTGTGAATATTTACCACGTTTATTTTTAGAATTCGATTTCACTCACTGGAATATTAGTGACCTAACAATGATTTGTTTTTGAACTTTTTGTTTTGTTTCATTCGTGACAACCTCGTTTAACCTTTGTATTTTAATTTTCAGAAATGAACAGTCTAGAATCGATATCGAAATCAAATCGGAGCAGGAATTATTTATTAAAAGAACTGACTGACACTCTGTTTCGCAACGCAGGTTCAATGAATGGGTCTGCCCATTAATGTTCATTCATTAATGACATTTTATTTTTCACCGACCTTTTTAATAATTTTCACCACCCAACATCTGAGAAAAAAAATATTTAATGGAAGGCCCAAAAAAGTCGATATAAATTGATTTTCTCCACTTAAATGACTTTCGTTGAATACTTTATAAACACTTTGGACCATTCCAGAGCAGTTCCCTTAATACCAATGGCTTCCAATTCGTTTTCGTTTCAACGGCAGCAACTACTAGGGTAAATGTTAATAACATCATGAACATCATGACTATTAGTAGTCCCATCAGCTATGTAACGTAGCAGAATCAATTTTTTAACAATGAACAACCATCAATCGTTTCATAAACTTTTCTCAAGTCTAGAAAACAGCAAAACATAGTCACAAGCATAGTCCTGTGATTGATATCTGTTTCAATTTTTTAAGTTTTGGTGTACAAGAAAAAGTGATGATTTACAAATCTTTGTGTGTTTTTTTGACAATTTTATTACTCTTCCTTCCTCTGAAAGTTCACCACTCTTCAATATCTAAAGATCAGAAATCTAAAAAAAATCTCCATACTCAATCCTTTAGTCAGTTCTATTTCCTGCCTCAATGTTCTGTGAATATTTACCACGTTTATTTTTAGAATTCGATTTCACTCACTGGAATATTAGTGACCTAACAATGATTTGTTTTTGAACTTTTTGTTTTGTTTCATTCGTGACAACCTCGTTTAACCTTTGTATTTTAATTTTCAGAAATGAACAGTCTAGAATCGATATCGAAATCAAATCGGAGCAGGAATTATTTATTAAAAGAACTGACTGACACTCTGTTTCGCAACGCAGGTTCAATGAATGGGTCTGCCCATTAATGTTCATTCATTTGGAATATATGATTTTTGCACAATGAAGTGCCCTCTAATTTTAGTGTCATTGTACTGAACATCCTTAACCGCATTGAAGAGAGGAAAGGATAGCGACCACAACATTCTCCAGATTCGAAACCTCTTGAACGGAATGATTTTCAGAATTATCCAACTGTAATGTACCGTAATTCAGTAGAGAAATCTTAGAAAAATAAGTTGTAATATGTACTACTTAATGTTTTTCAAGTTTTTATTTTGTCTTCGATACTTAGTCGAGAATATTTGATATAGAATGAGTTGAGGTAGGCAAGTAACGACAAAAGTTGAAAATAGTTTCTCTTGATGCAGAATAATCACAGGAAATGATTTGTAGTGTTGGTAATGTCTGTGTTACCCTCCTGAGTTTAGTTTGGTATATTGAATTCATTAACACCTGTTTGGGAATGCATGTTGAAATGTAAGACCCTCTCCTTCCCTCAAGGTGCCCAAGCCTAATAAAGACTGCTAAGGGTTGCGCTTGAGATGGCTACTGGTTGGTGATAACGATTTGAACGCTATGACGATGTAGTCCTACTTGTGTTCTTCCATATAAAGAAAGACCTGTTGCATGCAGGATTCCTAACGCAACCGCCAACACTACTTGGCCCCTCCAGTGATGAAATTATACGTCAAAACTCCGACCAAAAATAACTTAACTATGTCTCACCTCAATATCACAGAAAAGTAATGAAGAAAAACATCACAGCAGACTAGAAATATATCATAAAACACACGTTCAATGTCTGCAAGAGTCACATGGGTCACTAGATCAAACAATAATCAACACGCATAAACTGAACAACCTTCAAATGTTTACTTAACTTGCACGAGTATGCACTAATCGACCGTCTTATTCGAATGTTCGGAACAGACTGGAATCTGATTGTTGAAAGAACGACATTCAAATGTTGGCGCGCACGCGTCGATTCGTTCAAAAAAATCATATCAATTTTTTTTCGAAGTCGATTCGATGTCTTCGGAAAATTGAAGGAAGGGACGACCAATGGTAATAAGGCCCCTCCTCTGGGGGTATTTTGATAACTAGAGTTTTAGACTTTTGATTGTTCGACTGAAACAAGGTTGTTTACTATGTTTCCGAACATAATACGGTTGTTTACATAATCACTGCATTTTTTGATTAGATTAGGTGATCGTGAAAGTAAATACATTTTTTTGGAACCTCGTGAACATGTCAATAAACAAATATTCAGAGTTAATTTGTTTCTTCAAGGTCTCGGCTCTTTCTTGATTCAAACTACACAAATGAAACAAGCCGATAAGGCAATTAGCCAGCGGGAAGTACATTTAGTTTGCCTAATAATTTCTTCGAAGTATACATTTGTATTAAGGATGGACTGCCTCCAAATGGATCGTATTTAGCTATCATTTTGACGTTGCTCATGCTATCAACCAAAAAAATTTTGATTGTGTATTCATTAGAAAGGTTCACAAGGGTTTGAATTTCCAAGTTTGTAGGAAGAATGGACAAATGTAAGCATCGATATACATTTCATTGCAAGACAATTCTAGAAGACATAAAGCTCAAAATATGTCCAATGTAAAAACGAATAATGTTATCTAAAAGATAACTGAAATATATAGCAACTATACATAAGAAACGAAAGTAATAGATTCAATAAAAAAATATTTAGACCTAAATTTATCCAAATTGTTGATATGATCTTTAATTGTGGAGGTAAACTATAATACAATAATTCTCTCTTTGAATGCGAGGTTGTGTATGGTAAGTTATGTTATGTTATGTTTGTTACGTCACTATCACTATCACTATGTCCCTATGTATGCTTAGATCTTTAAAACTACGTAACGGATTCTGATGCGGGTTTTTTAAATCCTTAGTGATTCAAGAGGAAAATTTATATGAACCTATACAGGGTGTCCGTAAAGTATGGAACAAATTCTGTCTGCTAGACCACAAGTACCAAACATGTTTGGAAACAGCTCATTTTTATTACTCTAAACATGTAGCAAACTACGGGGTGTTACATTTAAACCAATTGCCGCTAGACAATAAGTATTTTTGATAATATTGTTAATTTACCTAATAAGGAATGTTACGCGTTACTTTATTAGCACACACACAACTACTGTATTTTTGTCCACCCTGTACCATTTGGAATCAACATGTGATACATTTTTGGAATCAGCTCAGCTAGAGTAATCCGAAAATTGAGACAAAATGGGGGTGTTCCATTTAAAAAAAATGACGGTGACGTCATTACTCGAACGTAATTCACCCTGTATATTAGATTATTATTTTAAAATACGGTAAATTAACATCAAAAATCGACGTGTTTCAGGATTATTTCTTAAAATGACCTGTTTAGCTAAAAATGAATTTGTTCCATACTTTACAGACACAGTGTATAACACATTTCTTGCACTTACATTGCAAACACTGGCTGAACCCTAGGAGATGAATAAAGAAATGTACTACAGTATTGTACACCTTGAAAAGGTCTACAAAAAAGTCCGCGATGGATCAATATGGCCTTCTACGGCATGTAATTTAAATAAATATTTTCGAAAATATTACAGATTTGGAATGCAGGGACATAGCGGTTACGGCGGTACCGGCCGGGTGGCCGGCGACACGTGCTTATAAATAGCGCGTCGGAGGCAGTGTGCGCAGGCACATGTGCAATGCTGACACTAAATATAAATTCAACCACCAGAAATTTGAGGGCATGAAGAAAGAGGGATGAAAAGATAATTCAATTTTATGGACGCGCCTTTTTCCTCCGCGGCTGGCGCCCTAATTGTAATATTTGAAAATCCTTTCTTATTATTCATCTACAATATAAAACGGACCTACATACAAAATTTCAGCCTCCGAAAATATACCGGTATGAAGAAACAGTGATGAAAAGGTAACTTCATTTTATGGAAGCGCCTACTTACAAAATTTCAGCCTCCGAAAATATACCGGTATGAAGAAACAGTGATGAAAAGGTAACTTCATTTTATGGAAGCGTCTTTTCCATCGCGGCTGCGCCCCAGTTGGAATATTCGTTGCACATCTACAACATAAAACGAACCTACATACAAAATTTCAGCCACCGAAAATATAGCCACCTTCTTCTGATTACCTCTCACTATGACTATCAGCAACTACCGATGTTATCACTGACGTTACAAGAAAAAGCCAAATATTGGTTTCAGGCTAATAAGCTACAACTTAATAATAGTAAAACCCAGAATATCACATTTTCTACTAATAATTCTCTCATGGAGGACAATAACGTTAAATTATTGGGAATAACTATTCATAACAGACTTGGCTGGAATTGTCATGTTGAACAACTTAGACATAAACTTTCTAGTACGCTATTTTTACTTCGACGATTGAAGAGATGTTATCTTAATCATGATACACTGAAAAGTACCTACTTTGCACTTTTTCATGCTCATATGAGTTACGGTATCATAATGTGGGGTAACTCCTCAAAGTCAATGCAAATCTTTCGACAACAAAAAAAGGCCCTGAGAATAATTTTAAATTGTAATAGCAGACAAAATTGTCGTCCTTTATTTGTTCGCCTCAAAATTTTATCGCTACCTTCCTTATACATTTATGAGACTCTTACAGAAATACATAGACAAAAAAGAAATTTGGTAACACAATCTCAAGTACATTCCAATGATACAAGACGATCAGATTATATCAGAACTCCCAGGTACAGGCTTACAGTCTCCCAAAGAAATTCACCAGACTATCATGTGTATAATATATTACCATCTGATATCAAGTCACTCAATATGATGTCCTTTCAAAAATAGATAAAAAGATTTCTTCTGCAGCACTGCTTCTATTCAGTGGTTGAGTTTAAAGAATATATGCAACATCTTGAAGTGCCTCTTTGAACACTCCTTTCAGATCCCATTCGCTCGACTCTGTTTTCTCAGAAATGTTCTGATGAATATCATCACTATTTCATTTTTTATATCAAAATGATCATAAATATACTCAACGTGGCAATCTTTATTTGTCGCTACTAAGTCCTTCTAGGTATTTTTAATATATCTTTATGTATTTTTAATCTAACTGACTTGCTATAAATGTACTTTTGTATATAACATAGTTAAATAAATATCCTATTCTATTCTATTCTAGCAGTACGGAGAAACAGGGATGAAAAGGTAACTTTATTTTATGAACGCGTCTTTTCCATCGCGGCTATGCCCCAGTTGGAATATTTATTGCACATCTACAACATAAAACGAACCGACATAGAAAATTTCAGCCACCGAAAATATAGCAGTACGGAGAAACAGCGATGAAAGGGTAAGTTTATTTTATAAACGAGCCTGTTCCTTCGCGGCTTCGCCCCAGTTGGAATATTTAAAAAAATTACACACCTACAACATAAAAAGAACCTACATACAAAATTTCAGCCCCCGAAAATATAGCGGTGAAGAGAAACAGTGATGAAAAGTTAATTTTCATATGTAATCATATGTAATTTGAAAATCCTTTCTTAGTGCGCATCTTAGACCTAAGAAGCACCTATATACCAGCTTCCTAGCTTCCTAGGACTCACCAGTACGGAGTATCAGAGATGAATGAGTGTTTACTGTTCCTCCATAGTATGTTATAGAAAATGATGATTTTCATTTCAGAAAATCTCGATGCTTTCGAAACTTGCCAAAAACCTGAAAATTTTCTTGTGTGATGAAAATTTTAATATGTAGTGTAGTAAAGACTTGTTACTTGTTTACTTCTCTATGAAACTTAATATTCAACAGCTTTGAATTCTTCAAATAGACAAAAATCTTTTTATAAATACCAATGAAACTGTAATCTATGACAATTACTGACATAAAAACTATTCTTAACTAAGTAGGCCAAGAACAATACGTTGATAATTGCGTGATAAGCTTAAGTAACAAAAAATAAAACAATTTTGAGTAAATTTCTGAAAAACACACGTAAGTACCTATTGCGGCTACTATGAGTCGGCTCACGAAAAATTCCTTTTCAGTTTCACGATATTCGGAGTACACAATCATTCTATGATATATGCAATATTCCTCCCAACGTCATATAAATATTGAAAGGGATATGTATTTAAAAGAGTTTTCTTTTCAGAATCATTCACGGAATCACCTCCTCTAAAATATTAAGAAACACCCTATATACCTTGACAATAGTATACCTCTGTCAAGTTCGTTATTTGGCTGAATGGTCACAAAAAGTACTATCATAAAGTTCTTTAAAAAAAGAATGGCATCGAGATTGGTCTGGGAAAACCCTGAAATAGTCAAATCATGAAAGGTAAAATACGGCGATTCTGTATAATTTTGCTAAGTACCATCGATTCGCACAAACATTTGGATTTGGGTGTTTATTATTTTCTGCTTCAAAATTGACCCTGTACCGGTGTGGGTCCACTCATTCTCATGGGTGAAATCAAGTCCATGAAGAGATAAGACTGACTAATTGTCAGCAAGTTTTTTCTAAATTTGTCGGCGACCATTTTTATTTTCGTCGAAACTCGTTTAGTCTAGGGAGTTTTACGCACCTTAAGGAAGGTTCTAAGAGTTTCATACGATAGATACACTGTTTTTTTGGTTATCCTACGTTGAATCTTTCAATTTTGGAATTTGACGAATAAGAACCCACCATTATCAAGCTATTACTTCGTTTGTTTTGGTTTTACGGACGTGATTAAGTTGCAAGCCAAGCTTTAACATCGACCGCCGACAAGATTCGTCCTCTGTCTTTTGCTGCAGCATCGCAACTGACCGCCCTGGATGAGCCTCATTTATCTTTCATATTTGAGGGTTGAGTTCTCTATCGATTCCATTGATGGCGTCTTCGTAAGGAAAGATGTTGTCGACATTATTTACTCAGGCTTGTC